TTAATAAAAATTTAATTTCCTTATACATTTTAGATGTTCATACTTTCTTAAACCAAAATAAAGTACAAGCAACATTGTAGTTGCACAAATGTTATGTGTGGTTTGTGGTAAAAAAATATTTCAGTATATTTTCATGCTCTTGTGGAAAAAAAATTTACAAGTTTACATATTAATATCCAACATCTATACAAAAAAATAGAACCAACTAAAATGTTTAGCCAAATATGAACTGAACTTGACCAAAGTGGACGTTCGATCGCACACACTGATAGCTCCGTCGAACTTTCGGCTCTGTGGGTAGCTTTGACGGTTAAGTTCGAAACATAGATGAAAATTGGTCGAAGTAGCTGAGGGTGAATTTCGACTTTGCAAGCGACTTAGATGTAGAAGTTCGAAAGATGCGTAAATTTCGAAACATTTCGGAGCTTCCACACGGCGTTGTGTTGTACCTGCATCACAACAAAACATTTTTACACCCACAACATGAAAAAAAAACACATCAATGTCGTTTTTAACACTGTTCCGTTTAGTAAAGACGTAGTGTTAGTAATTTTGATTTTCATAAAAGTTAAAGCTACCGTAACTTCCCAGTCGATTATTCTCTCTGCTGATCGATAAGTGAAATAAGGCATTCAACAAGGGAGGGCCGTTTTTTCCCGACCGGGAGAAAAGTCAGACGACAATCACCGCACCAATTTGTCTTTCCGCCCCTGCGAGGACGTCGCAATAGAGTCCTCGTCATCAGGGACCTGCAAGAACCGCCTTTATCTCCCGGAGAGTATTTGTGGACTCCGTCCAAGTTTCAGTTTTTACGCGAATTTCAGCGGCCGGCCGTAAATTCCACGGAGTTAAACTGATCTTGCGGCGGGACTCCGTAACGTGCGAAGTTCGGAAGATTTCAGCTGTTGTATCGGGTTTTGCGTGTCCGAAGCCCGTTGTGTGTCAGTCTAAGTCGGCTTTAGAACAGCCATGGCGCGTTGTGGAATGTACGATGCGGCGAAGGAATGGTTTCGCTCTATTTGCGAAGCGGGTAGAACCTGCCTTCCTTATTTATCTTTTGTTCTTCGGAAAAAAATTGAAGTGTACTGAATAGCGGTTACACAACAACACAACGGTTACATGTAAGTTTAACATGTAACTTGTGTGTGTGTAGCTATCTTCCTTTAGGATATAATTAGAAATTTTATATAGATTTTCTTATTTCACACAAACAATAATAAGTTGTTGTGTTTTTACACAAAAATTAAACTCAAAACGCTGCATTCTATTAAAAACGTCCCCAAAGATGCTGACTTGGTTAACGAAACTCTCGCTACTTTCCTACTAATTAGTATTCCTGTCCGTAGCCCACATCTCGCTTCGCCCGTAATTTTTCCAGCACTGTTAAACAATGCAATGCATAATTTAACCCGTCGCAAAGTGACGGTTAACAAGAAAAACTCCCGAATAAATTAAGTGGCTTTCATCTCCCGTCTCCCGTTCCCCCTTTTGTTTTCGACGGGCGTGAATTTAAAGGGCTTCGGGGAGCTCTAAGTCCTCCACCAGCATAATAAGTATTCCGTAAATGTGTCTTGTATTTTTTTTTCGGTGCCCCGTTATTGTAACAATCTAATCTAGCGAAAAAGAAGCCATTTCGGTCGCGATAAAAGCGCGGCTCGTGATGCCGACGAATATTTCTCGTAGTTTGCAGGTAATGCGGGATGAAATCGCACGGCAAAATAAATATTTTTAGAACAATGAGGGTGAAATATCGCCTAGTTTGTTTGCGGGGTCTGCCCGGGAAAGGAGCGATGGCTCGCTCTCGAAATAGCAGTTTCTTTAACAACTTTTTCTGTTGTAATATAACACCGCCGGAAAGTTACGTAGGAGCGCAATTTTTCTAGAACGAGAAAAGATTACGCGGTAAAAAATATCTGATGTGGTCATATATATCAGGTGTGAAGTCAGCTGCATTTCAGAGGCGGCAAACGGGATTTTAACTGAACAACGGAGACTAAACTCCGTTGTCCTTTGTTAAATTAAACTAGCACGATTTAATTTTGTTGCCACTTTGGATATTAATTTAATATGTATTTAATATTATCTGTTTTAACTTTTCTTATTTAATATTATCTGTTTTAACTTTTCTAAATGCGTCTCTGTCTACTTTACGTACTAACAATAAAGATACACGTTACGACGAGTAATTGGGACCCTAGTAAAAACTCATATCCAAAGTTGATATGCTCAAAGAGACGTCCGAGACCTAAATAGGCTGGATTTCGTCGGACGGAATGATTGCGACGAGTGAAGGAAACGATATTTATACGAAATAAGCTTCGGACTGCTTCATGTGGCGTGTTAAACGCAGTCGACCCTCGTCAGGGGATTGTCGTTCTGTAAAAAGTTTAAACTAGTTGTAGCGGTGACATAAAGCACGACTCGTGACCGGAGAGATACCTTTCCGCCAACAGTCACTCCAATTTAATGTAAATTTACACCGCGAATGATTTACAGCTGGAAAAGTGCCCGGGCTTGTTCGCCTTTGCGGGAGGCTGGAAGCTGTTTCATTATACAATACTTTAAACAGTATTTTATTATTTTTTTTGACAAGTAAGATAATAAATTTAAACTACACTTTACAAAAAATGATTAGTAAACTTTTTATAGTAATAAGAATCGCGTATTGTCTAGTTATTTACAGTGTAATATCAACACCTCGCGTGTAATGTTTAATTAGTAATTTTTTTTTCGTTTTCCATATCACCCAACTTTAATTAGTACCGCGGTGGAAAAGGGCTTCAACGCGTCGACTGTGGCGACAGGGGCAACTGCTAGACGCGGTGAAAAACTCATTTAACGTTTTTTGCGTGTGTACCTCGGTTAAAACTGGACATAATGAAATCCCGTGTTTGCGACATTTTTTTATTTTTATTTCTGACGGCGACAGAAACTTCATTAGCAACTTTTTAAATAATCATCAAAAATAAATCCGAATATCTACATTTTTATCTGCTGGGAAAGATAATTTCGGGCTTTCGCGGTGTTTTTAATTGTATGTAAAAAAAAATTGGGGAGGCTGCGGAGATAAGCGGATTTGACGTTTTTTAATAAATATGTAAATTTTATCGGTTTTACCTTGATCAAAAATATAAGTAAGTTCGGTTCCGGTAGCGTTAATATTTGAATTTTAAATATTAATGGCTCAACCCGGCGTAACTTTAAGAAGTTTTAAATTATTAACGTTACATAATCAGGATACAAAATTTACATAAAAAATGTAGATGGTATTAAATTTTGACCTTTTATGATTTTGTTGAGGAGCAGGACACGAAAATAATAGAAATACAGCATGATTTGTTTAAATGTACTAAATATAAAATGAATGGATATCTTGAGCTTTGTAAAAATGATGTCTAAATATAATTAATACAAAACACACATACCTGATAAGTACACCGAAATTATTAAAAATAAAATAATTAGACCAGGGTCGATAATTTTTTAAACCAAAAAAAATTATAGTAGGATGAAACGCATTGGAAAAGAAAGAGAATATAACAGAAATGAAAGGATAAATAATTTACGGGCGATCTGAGGTCGGGAAGGGGAAGGGGGTGAGTTTTTAAGGGTAAAAAACGGTTTCCCTTGATTTCCGGAAAAACTACAAGTCTTATGAAAAAATGTTAAATGGTAAAGTTGTAGGTAATAAAAAGATCTACAACTTTTGTATTTACACTTTTTTCACATAACCTCTAAATTTATGTGAAAAATTCAAATAACCAATTTTTTGGTTTTTATTTTTCTTTTACAAAAAAATTTTTTTCCACGGAATTTTGTTGAAAACTTACCTATTTATGTCTCAAACGTGCTGTAATTTTTTTGATTTGAAATATTTATTTTTTCACCTTATTTTTACTTAATATCGAAAAAGCACCCTAATTTTCAATCGAAAATTCTCACGTCAAAATATATGCTTTTTTAAAAACGTCGGTGGGCTTTTTCTTCGTTGAAATCTCTACTTTCGGAAATCAAGATAAACCGTTTTTTACCCGTAAAAACTCACCCCCTTCCCCTTCCCGACCTCAGATCGCCCGTAAATTATTTTTCCTTTCATTTCTGTTATATTCTCTTCCTTTTCCAATGGGTTTCATCCTACTATAATTTTTTTCACTTTTTACCATTTTTGAAGGGAATTCTCTTGTATTCTTGGTGTTCTGATATCACCATTAATAAAGACTAATCACTAATTTAGGAAAAAATACATTGCTGGTATCGAAGACCATTGTTTGACTTAATTAAAAAAAATGAATTAGTTTGAATTAAAAAATACTTTTAAAATAGAGTAAAAAGTGTGAAAACTAATAATAAAATACATATATTTTTAAAGAAAATTAGTAAAATGGGGCACCTCAACCGCTATTTTTGATAAGAAAAATGTGCTCCCCTAACTTTTTTAAAACATTTATAATTTTTTTTCGCATTAAACAACTAAAATTACAACTTTTTGTCTCTTCCTTTTTGGAGAAAAAAAACTCACTTCACCCTTTACCAGACTAGAATCACCCAAAGAATCATCCCTTGAAGTTTGACCACGTACTTAAATAACACCCTGTATATGTTTCTTACGTGATTAGTATTTGTCAAGGGTGATAATAGAAAAGCGAGAATACAAGCAAGATACATATTTCTCTCTTCTTTCAACATAAATTCAGGACAAATTAAATGAATAAGACATTACTGAACACCCAGTACACAAATTCGTGGTACCGCTTAAACACAGTTTATGTAGCGATACTACACAGACCACATTATTTACTTTGCTAACATCCCATCTATCCCGGCAACATATTTAGCGCCTATCGGCCAGGGGGTGTTTTCCTTAAATTAAAACGACCCCGCTCAAACGTCGAGCAGCAGCAGCAAATCGTCTGCGGCAAATCCGGAATAACGACATCAGACGGGGAAGTAGAGGAAACGAACTAATGGGCCATGGAGAACACTAACATGCAGTTACTTACCATGTAACGCCTTGAGGTAAGCCTTGCCAGCGTTGATCATCTGCCTAGCCCCGGGGTTGAACTTGTCCAGGATGTTCTGCAACAAAATTACATGTTTACATTCACTGTCGATGGTTTAGGGACCCGGCCGTCGGGGGATGTACGGCTTGGGGTTTACCGTCCCGACTTTACCGGTCCTTGACTAATGGGACGGTTAATTTCTTTGTCGTAGTGATTAATAAAAGCTCTGGTAAGATGAGAAGCTGAGTAAGGCGAGGAATTTCTTAGATGTACTTGATACCAGACTTGATACTTAATGGTTGATAATCCATCGAAAAGTAATTATTCTCGCATTACAATTGACGCTTTAGAACAATATATAATTTTAAGAGAATACCTTGCCTCTATGTATGTTGATGTACTTGATACTTACCTAACTTGATACTTAATACTTGATAATTCATTAAAAACAATTCTTACATCATAACTCGAGCCGCAGGACAAGGTCTACTTGATGTACTTGATACTTGACTGTGTACTTAATACTTAATAATTCATTGAAAAGTAATTCTTGCACCATAACTGGAGCTTCAGGACAAGATATGGTTTTAAGATATTATTTTGCCTCTACGTCTGGAGAACTTGATCCAGTATAATATTGGGAACTTGCTATAAAATTTTTTTCGATTAAAATATATAAATTTTATGGCAAGAAATTTCTTATATCTATTTGATGTACTTGATACTTAATACATACTTGATAATTCATTAAAAACAATTCTTACACCGTAACTGTAACCTCAGGATCAGATCTACTTGATGTACTTGATACTTGACTTGATACGTAATACCTGATAATTCATCGAAAAATATTTTGTCTCCACGTCTAGAATAAACTTGATCTAGTGTAATACGTTTGTTGCAAACAACCATTCGTGACCTCGAAACAATTTCCGGATATAACTTAAGTACTATTGACATGAAAGTGAATATTTATACGCACAAAATTTAAAAACACAAAAGGATGCACCCTCAACTTTTATCAGTATAAGAATGTAGTAAAACCCCAGAGAACTTCCCAGTATCGATGTTTACCCGAGGGTATATCGATGCAATATCGTTATTTTTCTTCCGAGTTCCTTAACTTTTAACGGAATCCGGGAAGTTCTCCCCTTATTTGATGAAAAAGGAGATGTTTGTTTTGCTGTTTCAATATTAAAGTTATAATGTTTTTAAATCTGTCTCGTAAAGTTTGTATAAGACTTCGCGATCGATCGGAAGTGTTTGCGGAACGGAGGAAGACATTCTCCTGTGTACATTGTAGCTCTTTATGGGATGTTATTGTCGGGCAAACGGTTAAAATATCTTCTTTGAACGAGATTTCTTTAAAGGTTACTTAATCTTTCCTCCTTTCCGTTATGTACTTTAGAAGGTTACTAATTCCAATTTATATTACAATATTCGAAGTTTCGTACATTGTGAATAACTTATTTTAAGAGTACCTATAGTAGTAAAATTATCATATAAAATGCCAGCAGAAATAAATGCGGTAAATTCAAATCACATTCATTAACTGAGGAACATAGTATTATTGGAACGTAGCTGAGGACCACCCTGTATAACCTGAATTTAATGACCCCCCCCCTTTATGCGGCTAGTAATTCAAATAAAAAAAAGTGAAACAGGAATTGTTCTTAATAGTACGAATTTGTATCAAATGAATTGCCCAGGAAACTCCGACTCTGGACATTTTTATCGGGATAATTTGCGGAGTATCTCCTCCAAAAATAATCTCACAATTTGCATTTAAACGACTGTTCAGAGAAGACAGCAAAGTCTCCAGACTGAGGAGATTTTTGATTAAAAACACTCAAATCGTAGGGATCTGGACGGATTAGAATTTTTTATTTCGCTGTTGGACATCACCTTAATTTATTTTCCTTTATTTTTCCAATACTTGACGACCTTTACCTTGTCTAAAAAGTTATTATTCTATTGGAACTGCGTCAGCGTTCAAAAGAACACCCCGTATATTTTTAAGCCACGAATTCAAACATATTACCAACCTGTAGCGTTGGTCTGGTATTTACGTAAATAACACCGAATTTTTAGGTTCCCCTCGAGACAGATATCAACTCCACCGCTTTACCTGTAAACGTCGAAAATAAAGTGACTGGAAGACGAGAGGTATTGCCCTCTAGACAAGGAAATTAATCGTGGAAACGTCATATAACTTTTTGCTCGCCTTCTCCTCTCTTATTGTGCCGTTTCGACGAAGTTCCCCCGGCAACCCATAAACGTTACAATCAGCAGAAGTTGGAAGTTTATGAGTTTTATGTTTAATTTAAAGTTGCACTCTTAAAACAAATGACGCGCTCGGCCCGAGCGCGACTCGTCTCGAGGTTAATGAAATGGAGGATTTTAAGAGGTGTTTGCGCTGAAAAACTTTTAGATGCAGTAGAATTACCAATTTATTTAAGTACTGACATATTTTATTTGTCGCCGTAACTGTAAGCTTACTCCAACAGAAATATCGGATTTAATTAATTGAAATAAATCTGTATTTTATTTGGACGCGACTGGTTTTATTGCCAGTCTTGCATAGCCACCGTCAGATGTCAGCATTCATGCGTCACTGACAGTGGTTCACTGGGGAACAGGACACGTTAAAGCTAAATAATCAGACAGATAAACAAGCATATAAAAATTTCTGTGAATTTTCGGCACAATCGTGGAAAGGTTCTTTGAAGAACGCAATATATCCACAATTATGTTATAAAATTGCTATTTCTGAAACGAGACTGATTCGTCAGAGAAAATACTATCTGCCGAAGAGTTCGATATTGCCCGTAATGAAAGTTTTTTTGCTGAAACCGGTGACAAGCGAAGCCATTAAAACTACACGGCCGTCAACTTTACTCCGATGGGAGTTAAACACAAGTTTGCGACAAAAAAAATCCATAAAATTAATACGCCAAGCGGCTTTCGGGCGACGTTCGAATAATGAAACCAATTTCGGCTTCATAAAGTTTATAATAAAGCGAACGGAATTGTTAATTAAAACTCTGTTTAAATGCAACTGTAATAATTATCGCGGCGGGCGTTGTGGATGCAGATCAGCCTTAACTTTATAACGAGGCGGCTTAGATCTAAAACCACCATTTTATGTATCCCGTAAGTATAAATGCACTTCCGTGTTGTTGAACAACGCGTTTCCTGCACATTCTAACGGAAAAAGTAATGCAAGAACTAATTTACCTCAGTCTCGAGAAAAGTAGATAGGAATCACTATTAACTAACCTTACTTTGACACCAGGATTGTGCAGTAGTTTTGGAACTTTACCGCTAGGTGTCACCTTTTATATTTCACCGACACTGTGTGGTCAAGGAGACTTATAGACCATCTGAAGGTGTTGCAAAAGAAAAAACGGTTACTTTCGCGCACGTAGTCTCTTCGACATCTTCCGTTATGTACTTCCCTAGCGATCTTTCGAACAATGCACTTTACACAGTTACACTACACTAGCCTGACCGCTGCCGCTGCAGCAAAGCGGATCAAATTAGCAGCCCAGATTAAATCAGTAATGATAAATAATGAACCTGGCGTGGTGTGCAGGGATTTTACAGATTGACGCTGGTGTCCACGTACGGTTGTCTGGTTCACGTAATAAAACACGACCGCTGTTAATTGATATTGATGAAAATCGCAACATATTTTTACAATATTTATCTCTGTCCATCCCAAATGTAAACTGAAAAATGACGAAGAGTAACATTTTACTACATGACATACTATAAATTCCTTTTTTTCAGCGATGAATTCATGCGGCACACTTGATTATGGGTGGTAATTAAAAATTGCTTTTATAATGCTTGTGTACATATTAATTTCGACGTTTCAAGGAAAGTAAACATTCCTAGGAGTGCATTGTTAATACAATTCGTAAAGAACAAGGAAGTTAGCTGTTTATTTAGCAATGAGAATTTACAAACCAAATCACAACAGGCTGGAATAAGTCCTTGAAGGACGAATAACGTAACTTTTCAAACAATATCAAGCCAAGCTTTTCTGCCAGTTGTCTTTTATCACTTATCTACATATGTAATTTAAACAAATCTAGTTTGAATAAGTTTTTGGACACAACATATTTGTTTTACAACGCTCGTAACCCGGAAAACAATGTTTTACAAGTGTTAGGTACATTTTTTCACTACTAACATTTATAAAAAGCAATGCAACTTCCTTAAATTATACCACACATTTTTTTTTAGTTCTAAATATGATAATAATTAAATTAGAAAGTGAATTGTAGTTCCCTTATTAAAATTAGGTGTAGGTGTTATTCAAATTTACTTCGCACCCAAATATATATAGTTTCTTTTATACAGGGTGTCCCAAAAAGACCTCCCCCCCGATAACTTTTCAAATCTGACTCCTATTAACAAAAAGTTTCAGACAAATATGGATAAATTAATTTTTCTTGAAACAATTTCCGACGTAAAAGACGCTTTACCGTAATTTTAAATTTAATATTTTCAAGTTGCTCTTGAAACTTACGCTGAAGATCAAAAATAAAATAGCCAGCATCTTGGTTTCTTAATTTCTTGAACTTATTGATTTTGAGAAGTTATCGGGAGGTTCTAGGCTTTTTGGGACACCCTGTATAGAGAAAGATGGAAATATATTTTTTGTGTTAAGTAAACAGCGAAATATTGGCAATTGTCAACTTAACAAAGAGACAATTTACAGCCAGACTTCTCATTTTCCGCAGCCACCCACCGTACCAACTTGTCAATTTACAGCACATTTTCTTAACGTTGTCGGCCGTAATTCGTAATTATGCAAAGCAGCTACCGCTATCTTGCCCACATTTACTGCACTTTGTGGTATCATTTACGACCACATTAGCTCCGACAATGTCTTTTATCAACGTGTGTAGCGACAGGAATTAGTTTCAAGGTGGCGAGACTTGTTAATTCATTTGTACTAGTAGAGAATTATACCAGCAAACAAAAACACAAAATTTTTAGAAACATCAAAAACTTAGCTTTAATTTAAAATGAAGTTTTGAAAAGCTTGGTGTTGTGTTTCTCTTA